GAAATTATACCTACTTAGGGGTCAAATGTGTAAATTAGACCACAATGTGAACGTGAATTACTATATTGCCATTAATGATTGAACAAATTTTGACTTAATCCTTACCATTGATATGATGTATCCAATGATCCAAATTTATTCTTATATATTTTTTTTCACTATCTTCATTTCTCATTTTATCCCAATTCTATATATATAAAGGTTTGTATTTACTTGAAATATAAACTAAAATCCCACCTAAATTTTTTAAAAATCCTAAAAATCCCGCCAATAGATCTTTAATTTTGAACTTAAAAATTATTTTGATTTCAGTTAAGGGTAATTTTCATTTATTATCGAAACAAATTTGTCTACTGATTTTTAAATAAATAAAGATCCTCTCCAAATTTATATCACAACCGCAACATTCCATATCCATTGCAATTAATATAACGTAGCTGTAACATTTCATATCCATTACGATTAATATCTCATTTAGCCGGAAATATATGAAATTGAAAAAAAATATTCTCATTAATTTTCAACAAAACTACTACTGTAAGATAATATAATAAGCATATGATATGAGGAACAAAACGATAACTTCCTAGGAGAAAAGATAGCGATATATAAATGTTTTTCTTTCCTCAACTTGAAAAACAAAAGATAATTTTCCATATACCTATGACCTATATCTTTGATCCAAAAAGAAATAATGACCCTGAAAGGATCTTTATTTTATTTTATTTTTTACTTTTTTTATGAAACAATAGGGACGCATTCACATCACACAAGAAATAAAAAAAGTTCATAGATAAAATACATCTAGGAGCATCGTTCAAGAAACAAACTTTATCACATTGATTAGTTTTATTCTCAGATCAGTGAAACAAACTTCAAGCAGCTATGGAGAATAATCACTAAGCCCAACCTTCTCATGAGCAGAATCCTCAAGTGCAAATATTTCCCCAAAGGCACTTTCCTTGAATCCAAAACACCTGCTAGCAGCTCTTGGTTTTGGAGAAGCTAGATGAAAGTCTGTCCTTCTTTCAAACAACACCTTAGAATGGTCATTGGTGATGGACAAACAGCTCTTATATGGGAACATCATTGGCTGTACAACCTCTCAAATCTCAAACCCAGCAAGAACCTGAGTTGTCCTTAGACCATATCCAAAGTTGGCCAACTTATGAACCAGAAGACATCAGTTGGAATATTGATCTGATCAGAGGCACTTTCTCACCTCAAGAAGCTGAAGCAAATCTCCACATTAATACCCTAGACAAACAAGGCAAGACAGATTTGTTTGGGCCCTGGATAAGAAAGGCTCCTTCACAGTTTCATCATCTTATTCACAACTCATCAAAGGAAAAATCAGCAAACTTGATATTCCTGAAACTAGCACTCGGTCCACCTGGATCAGCAAAGTCAGGACTACAAGTTGGAAACTGAAGATTAAAAGAAAACTGAAACACTTCATTTGGAAGTGTTTCAATAACACCTTCCCTTGCTGTTCTAATCTGGCAGAAAGAGGCCTGCTTGTGGACACCATTTGCCCTGTTTGTGGTGATTCTGAAGAAACTATTGAGCACATATTTTTTCACTGTTTTAAGGCTCAAACAACTTGGAAGCTGGCTCCTATGACCTGGACTTGCACCAACTCTGGTACTCCATGTTTCAAGCACTGGTGGAGGGAGATCTGCTCAAACAAAGACCAAGCTACTGTTGACAGGATTGAGCTCACCACATATATCCTGTGGTGGCTTTGGAAAGCTAGGAACTTGTGGCTCTTCAAGAAGACATGGCTACCAGGAAAGGAGATCATTAAATCTGCTCTCCTTGAATGGCAGGAGTTTTCTGCAGTCCACCTTTTCACTTGATGTATTCTGTTTCTGTGACTTTGGTGTGTTCATATTTTTGGCTTGGCAGGATGCTTGTAACCCCTTATATCATCTCTTCTAGTCTCCTTCATCTATTTTCTCTAGCTAGGTTCTTCGGTTCAGCGGCTAGTTATTCTTTTTGTATTGGACTTAGATAGGTTAGCTAAAGGTCTCAGTATTCTTACTGCCTTTTAGTAGCTTATCTTGGTTTATTCATATTTTAGTTCCTCTTGTGGAACTCCTTATTTGTATAGGTCATTCGGCCTCTCGAACTCTGTAAATTTGTTGAAGTTTATTCATATCTATCGTTTCGAAAAAAATAAATTAGTTTGATTCTCCAGATTTGCTTTCGGTCTTCCTCATCTATCGGTCATCGCCCTCCAGATATGCTATTAGTCTTGTGCTGGCGGTTAGCCCTCGGCAGCTTGGATCTCGCCCCGATTTCACGCCTCACCTGTCCGTTGCACCAGAGTTAGCTATCAACTTTCATGGATGGATTTCGCTCTTCCCGACGCCGGTTTCCTAGCCTCAGGTCGGCGGTCTCTCTGGTTTGTGGTGGATTTAGCCGAGGTGCGGCACTGTGGTCAGGACGTGACTGCGGCGTTGGAGTCCGGTGGCTGGGGCTACGACGCTAATTTCAGCCTATTTCTCCCATGTGCTCTGGTGTTGGTTCATGGGGTAACCGGTGTTTCCATTTTTCGGCTAGTGGTTTTGGACGGTATGGATTAGCGGAGGTGTGGTGGGCTATTGTTGGCGTTCCGGCAGCTTGGGGGTCAGGTCGACTTTCGGGTTTGGTTCGGGGCTTAGATTCAACTTTGGTTAGGCGGTTCAACAATTTCGAAAGCGGTATCTTGGACTGCGGACCTCTCCTTGAGGTTGACTATTTATCTATTGGTTTGGCTCAGTCGATCTGCGGTGAAAGAGCTCGGTTTAGTTTATTTTGTTTTATTGTGGCTTTCGGTTTTTTGTTTGTCTAGGAGTCGTATTTTTGGTTTGGGTCGTTGGCCTCTGTATGCCCGAGTGTGAGCGGGTATTATCCTTTTGGGATCGGTTATTCTCCTTTTTTGGGAGCTTTGTACTGTCTTTTAGTTTAGTGTTATATTGGTGCTGGTCTAGCATTGGTAGAGTGTCCCTAGGTGATCTCTAGACCTGCCTCCCATTTTCTAGCTCTTAGTTGTTCATTCAGTTTTGGGCTGCTCTCTGTTTGCACATTTGACACACACACATAGGCCACATACACCTACACACGTTACACTTTCACACAATAGTACAACACACACTAAACACACACATACACACCAGATACACATACGATTCACACACACACACACACACACACACACACACATGACCGCCGACAGCCACTGACCACCGCATGTCGCTGCCTACACCGTGTCACCAACAAGCTTCTAGACCTGCCGCAACCAATGACGCACCGTCCATCCATTACCCGAACTCCGACGTGATTCTTCCACCGCGTTGGCATCCACCGAAACCTCCCCTACCTCCCGCCGCTGACCAACTCTGACTTCCGCCTCCCACCGTCGGCGACGTCGTCCAGCACATCAACTCCATCTCTTGCAATGGCCGCGGCCATGCCCGACGAGGGGCTATTTTGGGATTGGTATCGGTGGTACAAGGGAAGTCCGCAGCCAAGCTGCTCTAGCAGTTCGAGGTGACATCCATTCATCCTCCTCCGCTCGATGATGTCCGGAAACCCAACCACACCTTCCCTCCCCTCTGGCATATCCGGCCATCCCGATGACGGCGTCCGCCAAGAGCTGAACGGAGCTGTCCACCGGCGTCTGCTACAGTACTGGACGGCGACATGCCGAAAAGCAGAAGACACAAAGTGTGGTTGTGGGTTGTCTTTTGGAAATTTGATGTTATGAAAGGACCTATGTGCAATTTTTAAAATTTTAATTATATTTCAATCTACTCTCTAGGCCAAATCTGTAACTTTTGAAAACTTTATTAAATATGTTATTAGTTCTATATTTTTTTATACACATATATTAAAATTATAAATTAAAATAATATAAAATAATAAATAAAATAACAAAATTTATAAATAAATACATAAACTCACAATGCACAATTCACAAGAAAAATTATCTCTTTTGGGAGCGACGACATTCACTCTTCTGGGAGCGATTTCTGCTTCTTCATCCTTTGTTGATCTTTCTTCGTTGTTCGATTAGAGTTCTATCATATTAGTTTCTATTGCGTGGGAACTAGCATGATATTAGGGTTCTTGGATCCATGGAGAAACCAGATTGTTTGGGGCGAGATGATGATTTGGCTGCGATAATCAAAAATTGCTCTTTTTCACAGAGAGAATCAGAGGTTATCGACCTTGCTCAAGAAGACATAAGGCTTAGTGCAGAGGAGTGCCATCGGAGTTTGTTTGGTAAAATTGTAGGCGATCGTAAAGCTAGCTGGATCAGCGTGAAGCGAACAATGAATCAAATTTAGAGACTCCAGCAGAAGATGGAAGTCAAGGAATTGGGTCACAATTTTTCTTCAGTTCATATTGCAGAATAAGGAGGATATGAAGAAAGTGGCCAGTGGAACAAATCGGAGTTTCGAGAATCAATTCCCGATTCAGCAGGAATGGCACGAAGGATTAACTAGTTCTCATCCAGGCTTCAACAAACTTTAGATATGGGTACAAGTATTAAATGTCCCTCTAAATTGGCTCAGTGCAGAGGTCAGATTGAAAATAGGGAAAGTCTTCAAGGGAATAAAAAACGTAGTTGTTGTTATCTCAGGAAATCGTGGGGGTAGAATCATTCATCTTCTAGTCTCTTTAAACTTGAAGGAGGCAATGCTAAGGTGTGCTAACATTAGATTAGGTAGCCAAGTGGTTAATGTTTGCTTTCAGTACGAGAAACTGGTTAACTTGTGTCACTACATTGGATTAATTGGTCACCTAGATAGAGGATGTAAATGGTTAGAAGACATTCAACTGAATAGGCTGAAAGAAGGGCAGTACGGTGAATGGTTGAAGGTAGCCGAAGGTCAGAATTGGATTGAGGTAAGCAACAATGGATCCACAAGTCACGCAAATTCGGGCAAAGCCACACAGCCTGCATCAATGTCCTCACTTAATACATAAACCAGCCAACTAGAATTGAGAAATCAGATCATTGCAGTGCAAGACATAACTCCAAAAGCTATAACACCAGATACAATGGCTTCTAATTCCTGCAAGGCTGGTTCTAGTAGCAAAAGCCCACCTACCTCCCCAAATACTACACACCAGAACATCATTCAACAGCAAATCATAGAAGATAATGTAGGACAGGAAACAGAACTAGAGGTTATGGGTGGGATTGCTAAGACTACTCAGCTAGTAGAATAGGAAGCAATCTCTAAGAGTTTGAACATGATTACAGCTAAAAAGTGGAGAAGATCTGGGAACTCAGAAGAAAGGTTGCAAAGACAAATGGAAAGCCCAACTTTGCTGGAGGAATCAGTGGGCAAAAAGAGATATAGAGAGGGCACATAAGACAAGCAAGATGCTTTGGAAAGACAGATGATTGTGTCAGCATCTGGTAAGAAGATTAAAATGGTTCTAGAACAGGTGGGGGTGGCCAGCCTTGATTGGCACCCAAGTGACAAATGCTAGTTGCGGTGTGGAATTGTAGATGGCTGGGTGGACCCTCTACAATTTACCTAATCAAAGAGTCTTTCAGGACTCACCACCCAGTGTTCTTCTTTTTATCAGAAACTAAAAGACCAAATTCTTTTGTGAAGTAAGTCAGTAGGAAATTGGGATATGAAGACAGATATGCTATAGTGGATCCAATAGGTCAAAGTGGGGGCTTACTGCTGCTATGGACTCATAAGGCTGAGTTCTCTAAAACTATATGCAAGGAGTTCTATATAGAAGTGGAATTCACCATTTAGGATGGCCGCAGTGTAACACCCCGCTTTATCTATCTGGACTCATGAAAAACTGGGTAAAATTTTCGCGATGGTTTTCTAAAGATGCTGATACTGTTTTCGAAAGACACTTACACTTAACTTGCGGGATGCTACTTACTTACTGACTTGGCTTACTCCTTCTTTCTTTAGTTATGCATGTAACCAAATCAACATATAAAATCTAGCTGGGGAATATGGATAAGGGAAAATAAAACACGCATGCATACTAGTTCTAGGTTGGCAGTACGGAAGCGTAATAAAGTACATTACAGTCTCGAATTATCTTATTACATGCTAACATAAATATAAACATAATAAATGTTCAGCTGTCTTCGAACCACCACACCACAATACTGCTCACGCTCCACGTACGACCCCGTCACCTGAAATTTAAAAGACTGTGGGAGTGTGAGCACAGAACTGGTGTGCTCGTGGGAACAGTCACTGACCTAATCTTTTCTGTATACATAACTTGATAGCAACATAAGGACAAATCAGCTATACAGTAATCGAAATAATATCAACTGTAAACATAACAAGAAAACAACATAAACATAAATTAACTACTAAACAATCACATACATATCATTCAAGCAGTAAACATAAATAAACTGTATTGTACTGTGCAACATCTGGTAACTGGCTGGATTATCATGTGATCACATTCTAGGGGTTGTCTCCCCAGAAACCCAGGATAACTCAACTGGGCGATTGACTCAGGATGGGGAAAACTTCCATACAAGACCGAGTCATCATAAACTGGGCCACGAACGGGATAACTCAACCGTTCAGGCAAATAACTTACTGGGCCAGAAACGGGATAACTCAACCGTTCGGGTAAATAACTTACTCACATACTTCATACAGGATAACTGAATATGCGCAATGTAACACCTTGTACGGGCTCCCACCTGATATGCTGAAGAGACTGTGCAAGTGCTGGAATAACTGATGTAGCTGTTGGAGGCTCGACTCTCCACAGGCTACCAAACATGTACAAGCGAATAAATCTAAGTATTTTTTTTTTTTTACTGATACAACTTATTCTGAACTGAGCATATAATACAGTAACAGATTGACAGGCAGGCAGATAAGGCAGATAAAGTAGATAAATAATTACAACCATACATAACAAAACATATAAAACAAATAATCAATTAAACTGAATTAACTGCTCGACTATACTGGATTGATCTCGCGTTTCCGGATAAAATCTGACTGAATCATGGAAACTGAAACTTGTCAGTCTAACTTAATCTGGTTTGAACTAGCCGGTCCAACTCAGTCGAACTGGGTCCACATATTGAATCGACTTGGGTTCGACCAGTGACCTAGGCTCGGGCGCTGCAAGAGTCACTGGTCGCTGGCACTAGCACGACATGGGCAAGGTGGCAGGATGTGGCTGGCCTTGGCATGAGGCGCGCTGGAGGCGCGGGCATGTGCAGGGACACACTGAGGGTTGCTGGCGCACGGACGGGTGCGGATACTGGCGCTGGGACGCACGGGGGTGCTCTGCGGACGGCGCGAAGGAACGAGACGGGCGTGCGGGAGCTGAGGGGACGCTGTCTACGCGCGAGCGCTGGGACAGGTTGATGAGGACGTGGCGCGACGCCTTAAGAACTCCTCGAGCCGGGCTTACCACGCGAGGAAGAGGTTAGCAATGAAGATGGGCGAAAGGCTCGTACTCAAGACGAGTGCGCACGTGCCAGGAGATGACGCGCGCGAAATGGGCGGCGACACGAAAGGCACGGAGGTGAGGACCGCGTGTGCGCAATCGGGTGGGTACGACCACGCTCGCGGAGTTCTTGCGGAGATAGGCGACACGCGTGACGAGGAAACACGCGCGTACAAAGGCGGCGATGCCTTAGTCCTCGAGGCATTAGGCAAGGCGCACGAGGGAGAAGACCGAGGCGGCTAGGGTTCCTTTGCTCGGCGCACAAGACTAGATCTTCTAGGATTCCTTTAGATATTTAGTTTTCTTATTACTTATGATTTCTAGATTGTTTAGGACTTTAATTATTTTATTGCTTTATTAGGAGATTCAGGTTTAGTAGGACTAGATTTATTTGAGCCTATATAAAGGCTCATGCCTTGTTATTTTTCATCATTGAATTTAATACAAGAAACCGAACTTTTATTCAAACACTTTGCCTTAGATTTCTTCTTGATTTCTTTTGCAAATTCTATTCAATTGGCGCGCGAGTGAACTTCCGAACTTATCGTCGTGACCGAGGAGCTTGCGTGGCTCGACCGGCAATCGGACGCACGATCTCTCATCATTGGGGCTTTCATTGAGAGAGTTTGATCGTGTGTTTTTTCCCCATCTATTCTTTTAATTTTTGCTTGTTTCAAAAAAAAATTAAAAAACACTCCTACACGCATGGCGAGTACACACAAGGAGCGGATAATTGCATAGAACGTAGGCAGGAAAAGAAAGTCATGGCCAACAAGAAGATGAAGGATAAACTCAAAAACTTGAACGTGCAAGTGTGGAGCATGAGTGAGGCCGTGGATGACCTAGGCAAAGGGCTCGACACCACCAAAGCTTCGGTGCGAGATCTGATGGGGAGCATGAACCGGAGGTTCGATGAGATGGTGCGTAACATCTAACATCAGGCGCGACAACAGTCACCACTGCGGCCGCACAGACACGATCGACCCGAAGGTCACCACCGACACCGCGCTGAGTTCGAACAGGAGGAGGAAGAGTTCGAGCAAAGATCCCAGGCCTCGAACAACCAGTATAGGCTGCAGATTGACAAACTGAGGCTGACGTTGTCCACATTCACCGGATCTGACCCCGACGCGTGACTCAACCGAGCGGTGCAATACTTTGAACTAAATGAAACCGCGAGGCGCGACTAGGTCCGATACGCAGCATACTACCTCGATGGTGAGGCCAACGTATGGTTGCAGTGACTTACGAGTGTTTACCGCAACAGGCAGCAAGTAATCCGATGCGAAGATTTCGTGTGCGAGCTTCTCACGCGCTTCGGGACATCCGACTATCACAACTACGACGAAGCCCTCTCACGCGTGCGACAGACGGGGAGCCTGCATGACTACCAGAAAGAATTCGAACGCCTAGCGTGTCGTGTACGAGGCTGGCCGGAGAGTGCGCTGGTTGGAGCGTTCATAGGCGGGCTAAAATTTGATCTGCGGAAGTTCGGTTCAAATGACCTGACTCAATGCACATGGCCATTGAGGTAGCCCGGCGGTGGCTGCCACTCGAAGGGGACATGCGGACTTACGGTTCCCGGAGCAGCGCCACTGTAGCGCCCCGTTTATTTATGGATTAATTGAGATTATTTATTATTAATAATATTATTTATTGTTGTTGTTATTATTATTATTATTATTATTATTTTATTTCAATGCCTAATTGTTTTTAAATGCCTATTATTATTATTTAATTAATGTGTGCACTATATATAAATAAATATTATCCGATTCTATTTTATTGTCGTGCGATCGAACCAAGATATTCTCGGGCGAATTCGAGCCCGTGAGATCGAAAAACCGAGCCGATGAACCGGACCAAAAATTCGTTAAGCCCGCGCATAAACCGGCCAGCGAACCAGCCCAGCCAGTTTTTCCCTTTCTTAAACCGGGCATGTGTGTGTGTAATACTTGAGGGAAAAGAAAAGTAAAACCCTAAGCTCTTTTGTTTTTAAACCGAACGCTCGTCTGCACTCTTTTCTTTCTAGTTAAGAAAAACGCCGCCACCTTTTTCTATCCCTCTCTCTCTCGATCTCACGTCGGCAAGAACAGAGAAGAGAGAAAGAAATCTCTCGCTTTTTTTTTCTGATCACCACCCTCACGTTCTTCCCGGCCTCGATCATCCTCTTCCTCTTTCACTCGGCGAGAACCAGACGTCCCCACGTAAGGAAACCCATCGCCTCCCCCTTCACGAATTCCTCGTTGAGAAGCACCTCTGCCGCGACCAGCCCACTTCCGACTAGCTTTGTTCTCGCAGCGACTCCGGCGAGTTCTCTTCCTTCCGCGAGCAGGCCACGAGCAATCTCTGGTGAACCAGCAGCGACGACGAGCACCCTTTACAGCAGCCTTTAGCCGTGACCTAGCAGCAGCGATCAGCCCTCCTCCGCCACCTCCTCCTCCGCGAGACGAAGCGTAGCTGTCGTCCCCGTTCGCCTCCTTCATTCCGTTTTCGAACGTGTTCCCGAGAACGGTACAAAGGCTCGAACCCCGACTCATGAATTTATGTGTAATGTATTGTTGTCGTTTGTTATTTCATGTGATGAATTTATTTTCATGTACATGATCAATGTTGATATAGATATATAAATTGAGCCTTGTTTTAATT